AGATGGCACATGGATATCTTCCCAGACTATAATTTTAACATCCACAGTAGTGCTGTCCCACGCCTTTCTACAACAGGCCTCTTGCACCATTGGTCCCACTAATGTCTTGCTTATGATTAGGAATCAATAATTACTGAATTGAAGTACGATGAAATTGCATGGTGACCCTAACAGCTCAGATTTTCTGAATCCAATTTCTGCACTTTTATATCTCTGTGAGTGATCTTTGGATTTACTCACAATTTTCTTAACTGTAAAATACAACAAAACACAGTGTGAGAATCGAAATCATGGGAAATGAAATGAAGGAAAGATGTTTCTCTCAGATTTTCTAAGCAATCATTCAGTTGTAAATGTCAATGAAAGCAAATAATATGAAAAAAATAAAGCAACTGAAAAAACAGATTATGAGGTTAAGTAGTCAATGACAGAAATGAATTCGATATAATTTAACTACAGGTACTACATACCTGTTATGTGCCAAATATTGCTGTGTGTTAACAACATAAACTCCAAGGGCTCCAAGTAAGGACATATTACCAGCTATAGATATAGCACAAAATATTGGTGGTAGTGGTGGCAGAGGTAGTATTAATAACAGTATTTTAATGCATTTGATAATTTATGAAAATTATTTGAATATCTTTAGACTCTAAGAACAAAACTGTCACATACGGTGGCTATTACTTATTCTCATGTTTTAAATAAGCAAAATGAGGCTCATAACTATAGGTATACAGTGATAATATTCTGATTTCATGAAGAATCAAAAACAGATAGGAAAATGGTTCTTGAAAATAGCCTAAATTTATGTGCAACGTTTGGAGGATGGTCACGCTTGAGGCTCTGACTCAAGGGGGAAAGGGGGGCATGGGCAATATACGTAACCTTAACACTTGTACCCCCATAATATGCTAAAATAAAAAATAATAATTAAAAAAGAAAATAGCCTAAAGTTCAGAATAAAAATTCAAGGCCAGCAGAAAAATAAAGTCATATCAGAAAATCTAAGGATAGGACAAAAACCATGAACAAAATAAAAGCAAATGGTTGCTAAATCAAGCTCTTCAGACTCCCACCTAATTGCACACCAAATTGAACCTTTATTCTGGGGCGTGGACAAGTCCAGCTCAAGGGAATACTGGGTCAGTGTGTTACCACTCTATTCTTATCAGCCCAAGAATCTTATTTATCAGTTTAGTCCTATCAACTAGGCTCTGAAATACACTGGAACAAGAAGAGGGAAATCTGGGTTACTGCATTTTCCTCAGAGCAAGGAGATATGTAAATAGCTTAAATGCAAACCCTATGTTTTATTTATCATGGTTCAAGTGATAAAATTTTAAAGAACGTGTCAAGTAAAGCAGACACATGATTCTAAAGGCCTTGGGTCCTTCTGCTGTGGGTATATCTCCAGCTCTCCTTAGTAGCACCACATAACCTCCAAGTTCCCCTTCTTTATACTGGGAAAAAGTCCAATTTATTTCCTCACTAGAAGGTATAGGAGAAATAATAAAAATGATTGAAAAGAACTTTTCAAGAATAATGTACTATTGAATGCTTATATACAATGAGTGAACACAAAGATTGAGACCTCAAAGGAAAATGGAGCCTAGAATTTAAGACAATAAACGAGGAAGACCAAAATCAGAAACAAATTAGATGATGGAGACAGAGCAGGGATGCTCACCCTCAGTGATTGTAGCCAGTAAGAATCCACATGGCCTGAAGAAAATTAGAAGATTTTTGTTGAACATGGAAACCTTCCCAGAAGTTACTCATTCCACTGCTTGATTCTAAATCATTATACAGATAGGGGTAAAAAGATGTCTTTCTGAATGCCATCCCATAACAGCAGGGCTCAAATATAATCAGTGGCATATCTATAAAATTGTGGTTATAACACATGTTGAAATTGTACCCAAATGAAGAGATGCTGTAATGACAAGTGCAATAAGAAAAACAGTGTTATTCGTGAAAATAGAAAAAATGACTTCTTTGCCTTTGGATAAATACCCAGTAGTGGGATTGCTAGATCAAATGGTAGGTCTATTTTTAGTTCTTGAGACATCTCCATACTGTTTTGCCAAGAGGTTGTATTAATTTGTAGTTCCAACAATAGTGTATAAGCATTGCTTTCTCTCTGCATCCGTACCAGCATCTATTATTTTTGGACTTTTTAATAAAAGCCGTTCTAACAGAGGTAAGATGGTTTCACTGTGGTTTCAATTTGCATTTCCCTAATGATGAATGATGTGAAGCATTTTTTCACGTCTTTCCTGACTATTTGTCTATTGGAAAACTTCTGTTCGTATCTTTTGCCCACTTTTTATGGGTTTGTTGTTTTTTTCTTTCTGATTTGTTTGAGTTCTTTGTGGATTCTGGATATTAGCCCTTTATCAGATGAATAGTTTGTGAATATTTTCTCCCATTTTATAGATTGTCTGTTTGCCGTGTTGATTATTTCCTTATCTGTGCAGAAGCTTTTCTTTATCCAGCAATCTGACTACTGGGTTTCTACCCAAAGGAAAAGAAATCATTTTATCAAAAAGACACCTGCATGCAAATGTTTATTGCAGCACAATTCACAATTTCAAAGAAGTGGAATCAACCAAGTGCCCATCAATTCATGAGTGGATTAACAAAATGTGGTATATGTATACCGGGGGATACTATTCATCCATAAAAGAGAATTAATTAATGCCTTCTGAAGCAATTTGCATGGAACTGGAGACTATTATCCTAAGTGAAGCATCTCAAAAATGGAAAAACAAGCAACACATATACTCTCTAACAAATTGGGAGCTAACCAATGGGCACACATGCATACACATACAAAACACATCAATAAACCCAGAAATAATATAGCTGTTTTGAAAGTCTTCATTACAGTATAAATGTCTTCCTATTTCCTAAGACAATCAAATTACTCAAGATCTTAAATAAGGGTATATGTTCTGAGTCACTCTTTAGTTATTATCATCTTTGGTTATTATACTCCTCTGTTACTCCAATTAAAGGAAGGTCAATAATGCTTACATTCTCAACATTCTCTTAATGTAATTCCCAGAGATAAATATTTTCTAATATTTATTAATGGAGCCATAACCAAAGCAATTTTCTAAATAACTGGTCTAGTCATCAAAGTATAAAGTTATTTTCTGGCTCTATCTACATGGAACCACCAACTCAAACTGCTTGTATTGACTAGAACAAAAAAAAAACCAAACATTTTTAAGGACTTGATGTAATTACTTTATTAAAAATATTTAAGAAAAGAAAGAAAATAGGAAAAAGAGAAGTTTTCAGAACACTGGAGGGAAAGGCAGGCTGACCATCATCAGATAGTGGTTTTCCATTCTTAGTGGCAGTACAGCATGAAGTGAAGTATGACAGGGTATGTCAGCATAAAGGGAATCTCTCTTAAGAACATTCCACTACAAGAGCAGAGGCTGAGAGTTCAAGAGAACTAGATTCAAACTTTAGCTGTCTCTGATTGTCCCCCCATCTGTGGTCCACTCTGCTCCATTGCTGGAGAGTCATCTTACAACACCTCTTCTGCAACCCATCTCAGCTCCTTCTGACTCTTGTCTATACCACACATGTGACCCAAGTATAGATCAGGCAGGCAAACATCAGGGTCACCTGCCATGTGACTGCTTCCCAGATTGGCCAATGGGAAGCCCAGGATCTGACCTCTTTCCAGAACCTTTTAAGGTGAACAGAGTCCAGAGCTCCTTTCTGCTCTTCACATGACCTTCACTTATCAAGTGCAAATATATTGTACTTAGCTCCCCTCCATCTATCATCATTATACATTTCCTCTTTGTTTTGGGTGAAGCTTTTGTTCTATTCTGCCAGCTTTGGCTATTGAATTACTAAAGTGTAAGATGAATAAAGGTAAAGATTAACTTTTCAAGACATTCACAGTTTTTAAGATTAGTATCATCATCTCTGTAAATCATATTTTTAATGTATCTTTCTTGTAGCATTCCTTCCAGAGAGCAAATTATAATCACTATTCCGAATCCCCAGACACTCGATAGTAAGTTGCTCACAAAGACAACAGGTATTTGCACATTAATAATTGTCAAAGGACAAAAGATTTCAGTTATACAGAAGGAATAAGTTCAGGAGATCCATTGTGCAACATGGTGACTATAGCTAAGAACAATGTATTGTATACTTGAAAATTAATGAGCATAGATTTTAAGTATTCTTATCACAAAAATATGATAAAATTGAGAGATAAAGAATATGTTTATCAACTTGAATTAGCTATTGCTTAAGCCATGCACAGGAAGACAAATACTGCATGATCTCACATATATGTAGAATTCTAAAAATTTGAACTCATAGAAATAGACAGTAGGATGGTGGTTATCAGAGGCTGGGGGAGGAGGGAAAATGGGGAGAGAGGAGATGTTGACCAAAAGGGTACAAAATTTTAGTTAGGAGGAATAAGATTTAATGATATCTCACATAGAATGGTGACTATAATAAGTAATAATGCACTCTACATTTCAAAATTTCAAAAAGATTTTAAATATTTGTCACCACAAAAAATAGTATTTGAAGTGACAGAATTGTTAGTTCAGTTGCTTTAATCACTCCACAGTGAAAACATGTATCAAAACATCACATTGTGCCCCATAAATACATACAATTATTTGCCCATTAAAAATAAAATTAAAAACAATCTTGTATACCACAAATATATACAATTTTTATTTTCTAATTACTAAATAAAGAATTAAAATATAATTTTTAAAATACCCCCTATTACATATGTAAGCATTATCACAGTGCCTGGGATATGTTAAGCATTCAGTAAATCACACCTATTGCTATTTTTAAAATAAAATTTATATCAATATTTAGTACTGCCAATCTAGTACTCATCAAACAATGAGCATAAATATCTTAAAATTATGATATGAGTAGTTACCTTGTCTTGCAAATTAATAAATATGCTATCATTCTTTGTTCATTTTATTTAGACTGAAACACCTTTTAGAGCCTGATCTGCCTCATATGTGCTGATGAAATTACGGCTGTGAACTCTGAGGCTGGAGACAGGTAGCAGAGAAGACGGAACAGCCACTTGGGACCAGTGACTTCCAGGTCAGACTCTCCTAGGCAGCACCCGCTCTATGATAACCGGCTTGAGGATTAGTAGAGGGCTGTCCTCTGCCTTGGTCTGATAGACCTGCTGAAATGCAGCCAAAGTCATTTAGATTATTCAGAGCCAAATGAATCCAGAATTACCTTAGAGATAGCTCTCCAAGTGACCAAAGCTGCTGACTGTTGTAGAGAGATGATGATGATTGGAAAAAAATGGCTGTATTCCTGAAATTTTTTTTTCCGAAATATTTTTTGCATGAGGGCCTTCTGCTCCAAGGAAACATATGTTTTTGATACTTTATGAAAAACAGAAGTCTTGATTATGGAAAGAAATTATCTCAAGAGGAAACCTGCCTTGTGCTGGTGTAAATCTGAACACTAGGCTTGGATGCTGCTGCACTGTAAGAACAATTCCCGTGTCACAAGGCAGCAAGACATCCGGGGTTGTGACAGTAATGGGCTGTGCAGCAACTGCAGCCCATTTACCCTTCATGGGTCAGAATGGGTCATGTGACATAAAGTGGTTTTCTCAGTGTCCTGGATCAGTATTCAAGCCTGATCCTCCAAGAAGAAAACGAATTTTTACAATGAGCTTTCCGTGGCAATCTGTTAGTCTCCATTTGGATTAATTATGGTTGTAGGAAAGGTTTCACCCCACTAATGAACTGTATCAAAAAGCCCCATAAGACTGTCTACATTATTATTGCTCGTCTCGTTTGTTCACTCATTCTTCAGCTTGACTTGCGATGTGCCCAATGGCCATTATGAAGCAGACTTTTCCAGAAAGCCCACCATAACTTTTAAAGCAACTGAATGAAATGCTCTGATGAGGACCAACCTCTGTATCCCCCTCTAAGTAGACAGATGCCTGCAACACATTCTGACGCTGCATTACAATTCTCTCCCTGTACTTTTCTCCCTTTAGGTCATCTGTCTGAATGGAAATGAATTATGGATGGAAAAGGAATCAGAAATGATATGGAAATGCATTTTAAATCTTTGTCATTATGAAAACAACTGCAAATCATAGCTGCAGAGGCCAAGGAGAAAAGTGGCTGGCCTTCTCACACCACTTTCCCAAATTAATTTTTATCTTTCTTTTAAAGAATAAATTCCACAGTAAAATGAAGTTTAACTTGTCAGTTAAATAGTAAGTTATTAAAAATGAACGAGCCACACTTATGAAACAAAACACACCTGAAAACCTATGGCCTGCGGCATCATAACGTGCTGAGGGTAGACTCTCACCTGAAAAAGTGCACACTGTAGAAAAAGGCTAAGTTTTCTAAAAAATGCCTACTGGGTAGGTGGGTACTTGAATTCCCCATTGAACATCTTTTGAGCAGAGGTTTTCAAACTTTAGTTTGCATTAAAATCACCTGGAGGATTCCTCAAAATGAAGATTGCTGAACTTCACCATTGGGAATTTCTGATTCAGTAGGCCTGGGAGGAACCCATGAGTTGACATTGTTAACAACTGCTGGGGTTGCTGAGGCAGCTGGTCTGGGGACCACACTTGGAGAACTACAGAGCTAGAGGGAAACGTCTGGTTAAGTTCACAGCCTAACCCAATTTTCCAGAGTGATTTGGGAGGAAGAGGACTAATTGATCTTACTGGGAAAGACATTGAAACAGGTTAAAAGAGGTTAAGTTCAGCTTGTTTCTTCTTTTACTTTGAGCTTAGCAGGAGAGGCCCTCGCTACTGAAAGGGGGAAGGAGGTACAATACTGAAAACAATTAGAGAACTATCAAAGCATAATTTTTAAAAGTTAAAAATTTGAGTTTACAGCAAGTATGCAGTAAACATGCATCAAAGATTTATGTAGGGCAATAATGAGGAAAATAGGAGTTGGTAAAGCTAGTTCAAAAGAGTATAAGTGAAATAGAAGTATTTATAGTTAATGAAAGACTCCTGAAATAAGATTACAATGTAAGGTACAAAAGTGGTTAATGTCCTGTAGTGCAAACAAACTATAACATTTCAGGTTATCTTTTCCACTGGGTAGAAAACTATTATGTCTCTTTTAGACAAAAATCATGCACAACATATAAATCCACAAGTTAATATTTCACTTCACAGAGTCCAGGCCATAATCTATGGTAAATGCTAAATCAAACAAACCTACATTCCTCTAGAGCAGAGGTTGGAAAATTTCAACCAGTGGGCCAAATCTAACCTACCATCTGTTTTGTTTTGTTTTTTAAGGAAAATGCACTGAACCATCCAGCCACACTCATCCATCATATAGGTTTATAGCTGCTTTTCAGTTACAACAAGAATTAAATAATACCCACATAGATGATGCTCCAGTGTGACATTTAAAGTTCATGCGGTCATTCTTTTATCCTATTTCCTAGGTTTGGATAGAGTTTCTTAACAAAACAGATAAGCACTGAAGGATGCATCATACCAATAGGAGTGTAGAAAAGTGAATGGACTTTACTAACAGGTACAGAGCAAAGAAAATTTGCCAGATCAATAGCCCCATTCAGTTGCTTTTCATTCAATACTGGATGTGTGCTATATCAGTATAGCTAAGCTGAAACTGAGCTTTCTCAAATCTCCTTTCCTGAGACCAAGATGGCCCCTCAGCCTAACTAAACTTTAGACAGACTTCATCCAGACTCTGGCGGCCCTGTCCTCCCTTTTCTTAAGAGTATTTATTTTAGAAAACTTGTAATTATAAATTCTTTCTCTGCCCCTTTACTATGTAAATATTTTAAAAGCCAGTTTTACAACCAGTGACTGTCTTTCTCAAGGATCTGGGAGCCATTCTTTTGTAACGCAACTCTCAAGAAAGCTAATGCCCTATCTCCCAGTCTCTGTGGAAGGATAGTAACCTAACTTCAGTGGATACTTTTCTCCAAGTTGTAAAACTGCCTCCTGACATCAAGATAAAAGAAAGTCTACTTTTGTGGAGGTTAAGGCCAATTAGCAAACACAGATGGTCTATGATTCCCCATACTCCTCGAGCTCTTAAAAATTCTACTACTACTTGTTTCAGTGGACTTGAACTCAGTGATTTTTGATCTCTCTCTCCTGTTATAATAGCCTTGAATAAAATTTCCTTGCCTGCTTAATATTAATCTGATGCACTTTTTGCTTTGCACTTGCATATTTCCCTATTAGTGTGAACGACAAGAGACATTTTACTTGACATTTTGATGACAAAAGTGAGACGGCATCCATATTCTTCTTACACTTGGTCAGTGCTAGGCACCAAATGCTGTTGCAGGTAACCCTGCAGTTTCTTCAACATCAGTTGAATCTCCTGCATCACTGTTAATAAATCCTTGTGTTTGCAGCAACTGGGACATCATCTAGGATTGCAACAACTCAACTTTTATTGGATCTCCATTAGTTCTCCAAATCCTGGGCATTAGCTTCTGTAGCTAGTTACTGGCATCATTGAAGTTGGAGGCTTGGTTGGAGGTGATGAGAAACAGATATATATTCCAGCTCACCCTTGTTGATTTTGTTTGTCCTTGTTACCTCACTTCATGTCTAACTTTTGGTTTTTAGTTTTGTTTTGTATTGCCTACCCTGCTATCTTCAGGCCCAGAACCAGACATGGAAAGCATCAGCTGTATGTAATTGTTTAATCAAATCCCACAGTTGCAGAGTTCATGGAAACTGCATCAAAGCACGAGGCTAAATGGTCTAAGTTAGCTAGTTGATCATGGAATCCTCAAACTAAAATAAATGACCAACATACTAAAGTCTTACTTGGTTGCATACACAAAAAAACTCTAGGTTTAGTGAATAGAAAACTTGACAAAATTTTACAATTGAGAAACATACATTTCAACGAATTTCCAGATATGAACTGATTCACAGACCCAGAGCCTGTTAAATGAAGGGAAGGCCAGATAACCTTGAGAACAAACCCTATTACACAGGTGAAAATTTGTAATATAACTCTGCTAGCCTTCCCCTCAAAGGATGTGTAGCTTTTAACCAGAATAATTGTGAGTTACAGGAGAGGAAATAATCAGATTTTTGAGGGATTGCTAGATATTGGCTCTAAACGTAAACTAATTATTGGAGAACAACATGTCACTGTAGTATACTAGCAACAGTGGGGATTGATGAAGCTCTGAGATCACTGGAGTTTTGGCTTAAGTCTATCGTGTAGTGGACTAGTGAGACTCCAAATTCATCCTGCGGGTATTTTCCAGATTACAGAATACATGATTGGAATAGACATTCACAGCAACTGGCAGAATTCCCATTCTGGTTTCTCAACCTGGGGAGTAATGGCTGTTATGTTAGAAAAAGCCAAGTAGAAGCCCCTAGAACCACCTAAACAGTAAACCAAAAATAATATTGCATTCTGCAGGGGTTGAAGAGATTAGTGCCACCATTAAAGACTTGAAATATGCAAGGGTAATAATTCCTACTGCATCCCATTTAACTTGTTTATTTGGCCTATGTGGAAGACAGATGGATCTTGGAAAATGACAGTGGATTTCCATAAACTTAACCAGATGGTGACTCCAATTGCATTTGCTCTTTCAGATGTGGTTTTGTTACTAGAGCAAATCAACATATTCTCTGGCATATGGTATGGGGCTATTGATCTGGCAAATTTCCTTTGCTCCATACCTGTTAGTAAAGTCCATCAGAAGCAGCTTACTTTCAGCTGTCTAAGCCAACAATACATTATAACTATCCTACCTCAGGGTGACATCAATTCTCCAGCCTATGCTATAATCTAGTCTGTAGGACCTTGATTGCCTCCACATTCAGTAGACTATCATGATGATTCATTTTATTTATAATATTTAGCTAATTGGGCAGGATGAGATGTAGAAGCAACAACTTTAGGTATTGTTTATAAACATCTTAGACAGAGGATAGGAATTAAATTCCACAAAAAAATTCAGAGAAACTGCCACCTCATTATATTTCTAGAGATCCAATGGTCTTAGAGCATGTCAAGGTATCCCTTCTGAAATGAAGGACAAATAGCTCCATCTGACCTCTCCCACTACTAAAGACAGAGCACTAGTTGGACTTCTCTGAGTGTTGGATGCACATATACCTCATTTGGACATGCTACTCTGACCCATTTCCCTAGTAACCAAAAAAATCTTTTAGTTTTGATGGAGGTCAGAACAAAAGAAGGTCTTGCAATATGTACAGGATGACAAGCAAATTTTTCTATCATCTGAACTATGGGACCCACTTGAAGCATCTTTGTCAAATAGGAAGACTGTAGGGAACCTTTCACAGTCTATAAAAGTGATTCAGATTCATAAAAAAAACCCTGAGGATTTTGAAGCAGAGCTATACTTTCCTTTGCAGATAATTACTGCCCCTTTGAAAAACATCTCTGACTTGCTGCTGGACCTCAGTAAGAACTCAACACCTAACAGTTAGCCACCAAATTACCTTATCACCTGAGCTACCCATCTGGGCATTGTATGATCCACCACTCCACAATCTTAAAAGAGTGTACTTGCATCTCACTGCATCATCAAATGAAAATGGCAGATATGAGATTGAGTTCAGTTTCTGAAGGTACAAGTAAGTTGCATAAGCCAGTGGTCCAAATGCCCGTGGCCCATTTTCCTTCTAGGTTGTCTCCTACTTTTCAACCTGAACCCATAGCCTTAAAGAGAGTTGACTGAGAAAGAAAAATAATTGTGTTCTGTCAGAGGTCCAGTCAAAAAAAAAAATAAAAAAGAAAAAGAAAAATAATTGTGAGTAGTTTGCAGATAGTTCTGCCTAGTATACTGGCACTACCCAAAGGTAAATGGCCGCAAAACTACAGCCACTTTCTGGTACATATTTGAATGACAGTAGTAGGAAACTCACCCAGGGGACAGAACGTACAGCAGTATACCAGGTTGTTCATTTTGCTTGAAAGGAGAGATGACCAGAAGTATGGATTTACGCTCATTCAGAGGCAATATCTGATGATTTTCTTGGATGATCAGGAACTTGGAAGACACACAGTTAGTGACAAACAGATCTGGAAGAGGAATAGGTGAAAGAATTTCTCTGAATAGACACAAAATGAAACTATATGTTTCAAATGTAAATGCTCACCAAGACACATTCTCACCAGAGGAGGATCTAAATAATTAATTAGACAAGAAGACTAATTCAGTAGACATTAATCAGCTTCTTTCCCCAGCCAATGGGCTCATGAAA